ACCGCGCCCGGCCAACCTTAAGGATTTTAAAACTCATTTAGCATTGCAGTCCTCAGTGCTGATGGGAAAATGAGAATTCATCTAGCAAATGCTCCTGTAGTGCTTTGGGGAGCCATTCATTTAATGGAGGGTGGGTGTGTTGAGTATCCTGCCCTTGCCCCTTCAGACTTGCTGCCCTCCTTCTCCACCAGCCCCCGTGTTCCAGGAGGCTGGTCCACGCGGTCTCCCTCAATGGGCTCCCTTGACGGAGGCTCCAAGTTGGAGGGGGCTCGGTTTGCTTAATAGGAGGCACCAGAAAGATTCAAAGATGGGAGGAGAGGAAGCCCAGTATTTATTCCCCTTCCTGCATCCCCGCATTGCCGTGGGCTGGCTCTGAGACCCTCCAGTGAAGGCCCAGCTCCTAAGAGAGAGCTCCCTCTGCCACCCTCCGGTTCTCACCCCCAGGCTCCCTTCAAGCCTAGGGTGAACCCCTGCTGAGTTGCCAGCCCTGGGGTGTGACACCAGCCTCTGTTAGTTCCGCAGAGCTGCCTGCATGTCCGTAGTCTTAAAAAGCTCTCCTGAGGCGGGGTGCAGTGGCTCATGCCGGTAACCCCAGCACGTTGGGAGGCCGAGGTGGGCATATCACAAGGTCAAGTGATGGAGACCATCCTGGCCAACATTGTGAAACCCCGTCTCTACCAAAAGTACAAAAATTAGCTGGGCATAGTGGTGGGGGCCTGTAGTCCCAGCTACATGGGAGGCTGAGGCAGGGGAATCGCTTGAACCTGGGAGGCAGAGGTTGCAGTGAGCCGAGATCACGCCATTGCACTCCAGCCTGGCAACGGAGTGAGACTGTCTCTGTGCGCGCGCGCGCACACACACACACACACACACACACTCACTCTCTCTCTCTCTCTCTCTCTCTCTCTCTCTCTGTCTCTCTCTCTCTCCTCAAATTAAGTTGGAGTGTGATCTGTTCCCTGCCAGGAACTCTACTGGAAAAAGCATTCCAGAGAGATGGGAAGGCGGTGGGTAAAGGAGGTGGGAACTCCTAGCCCTGCCTGGTGGAAATGGAAGGTAGGAGTGGGGCTGGATTGATGTCGAGAATGGACGAGTTTTCCATATTAAGCCAAGGGTATGAAATTGCTGGTTCTTTTTGTAGGTCTCCGTAGCCCCATCTTCCTAACCTAACGCATCTCTCCTCTCTTCCAGAAAACTGCTGCTGCTTCTGTACCCTGCCTGTCCCTCCCAGCTGCTCAGGGCCCCTTTGTGGAATCCTCAGCCCGAAGACTGGGATGGAGAGGCCTCTGTGCTACCACCTCTGCAGCTGCCTGGCGATGCTGGCCCTCCTGTCCCCCCTGAGCCTGGCACAGTATGACAGCTGGCCCTACTACCCTGAGTACTTCCAGCAACCAGCTCCTGAGTATCACCAGCCCCAGGTCCCTGCCAACGTGGCCAAGATTCAGCTGCGCCTGGCCGGGCAGAAGAGGAAGCACAGCGAGGGCCGGGTGGAGGTATACTATGACGGCCAGTGGGGCACTGTGTGCGATGACGACTTCTCCATCCACGCTGCCCACGTCGTCTGCCGGGAGCTGGGCTACGTGGAGGCCAAGTCCTGGACCGCCAGCTCCTCCTACGGCAAGGGGGAAGGTAAAGGCTCTGTGCTTTGGATCTGAGTGCTGTCACCTGGCAAGGCTCGGAGCAGCCTTCCCTGAGGGCAGCCTGGGAGAGGAAGCTGTACGCACTACGAACTGTAAACTCCTGGTGATGCCCCATCTGGGGACTGGCATCCTTCTGTGCCCACGTAGGCTGCACCCTGCAGGAAGGCAAGAGGGAAGGAGTCTTTAGGAGGGGCACAGTAAGTGACTATACTGATTTGCCCAGGACTTTTCTGGCTTTAGCACAGAAAGTCTCACATCCTGGGAAAACCAGAACAGTTGGTGACCCCAGTAGGGGTGAAATCGCACTGTGCTTGCTCCTCCCTCCACGCAGTGTGCTCTGCCTGGGGGCTGCATCAGCCCAGGGGAGCGGCACTTTACTCCAAATCGTTCCCGTTAGGAAAGCCTCTTGCTCTTCCCCACAAAGGCTCCCACATGCTAGAGTTCGCTGACGCTCCCCACCTTCCTGGATGTAGAGTTCATCTTTTAACACTAACCTGCTCTTGTGAGCTTGGTCACGATAGGAACAGAGATGTTTTGGGTTTTTCACCATCGGTTAGCCTAGTCTTTCCTCCCTCGGGAGGTTCAAATTTATTATTTTATTTTTTTAAATTGTTTTAAGAGCTGGCTGGGTATGGTGGCTCACACCTGTAATCCCAGCACTTTAGGAGGCCGAGGCGGGCTGATCACTTGAGGTCAGGAGTTCGAGACCATCCTGGCCAATATGCTGAAACCCTGTCTCTACTAAAAACAGAGAAATTAGCTGGGCGTGGTGGCAAGTGTCTGTAATCCCAGCCACTCAGGAGGCTGAGGCACAAGAGTCGCTTGAACCCGGGAGGTAGAGGCTGCAGTGAGCCAAGATCGCAGCACTGAACTCCAGCCTGGGTGACAGAGTTAGACTGTGTCTCAAAAGGAAAAAAAATTGTTTTAAGAGCTTTGTGGCAGGACAAGTTTGAAGTCCTGAACCTAGAGATGAGTCTATGCTGACCCCTGACACCACACTTTGTAGGAAGACGCATACCTTCCCCAGCCTCGTTTTTCCCCATCTGGAAGTTGGGATCTCTAAGAAATCCTGAAACCCTGGCAGTGTATGTTCCCACATAGGAAAGACATAAGAGTGAAGGGCACTGTTTCTTTTTAAAAATGTTTCCAGGCGCTAAGAGCGTCCCATCTCTGGGTCAGCCAGGCACAGGAAGCTCCCACCCCCGACCCCTTGGGGTGAGCTGCAGCTCATGCTCAGCGCAGGTCTGGCTCCTGGACTAAAACAGAGATGCCCACACTCCTGTCCTGGACTAAAGGGTTAATGCCACGCTGACTGCATAAGAATCGCCCAAGGGAGCTCCAAATACAGAATATGGAAGACCTCAGCCCCCCATAAACTGGTTTAAAAGGTCTGGGCTGGAGCCCAGGATTCTGTCACTTTTGGAAACCTACAAAGTGACAGGTTTGGGAGTCATTGAAATTGATATTATTCTTCCTTCCAACTTTTATTTCCATTTTTCTAGAAATTATAGGAGAAAGGAACTCCCGTCTCATACGCATCTCACCTCCATGCAAATGAACATTTCCTGTTGCGGCGACTCACTCAGGAGACAGCATAGAGTAGAATGTTCTCTGCAGCTCCCTCTGGGCTCCCTAGAGGCGATGAGAGCGACAGCAGTGAAGTTAGCAAATGCCAGACTTTAGAGCCCACTTCCTGTTTTCTTTAGACAAACGTCTGATGTTTCCACGTCTCTGTTGATCCGGCTGGCTGAGCGATCCAGGGTAACCTCAGATTCACGTTTTCTGTTCCAGGCTTTCCCGTGCTCATTATCTTTGACGAGGGGCACAGTAAGTGACCAGCCATACTGATTGGTCAGTATGGTTTCCAATGACTAGGTGTTTTTCCAGTGACAATTTTATGTCAACGTAAATTTTAAACTTAACCTGTCATCAGACAAGGGGCTGTGGTTTTTCCGTGTCAGGAGTAGGCATGGGGTAGTAGGGGCAGGTTTTTACTGAGGTGGGACTTGGCCATCCAAGCATAATGAAGACTGAAAAGTTCCAAGAAGTGGAGGAAATAGGAAAGGGTACAGTTAAAATCAGGGTCCGTGGAGTCTGTGCTGGATAAGGAGGGTGGTAATACGTGGAGAAGTTGGATTGTGCATAGTCGCTGTGATCAATGGATTGTGGGTCTCTGTTCAGATGGAGATTCAAGAAGTTTACTAAAAGATGGAAGGAGCTATGGGTGCAGCGCAGGAGGAGTGAAATGGAGATGAAAGGGTGCGGTCTCTGCTAATGAGAGACCTGAGCTTTGACCATAGGGCACAGCTAGAGCAGGATGGAGCGCAGTCCCTGAGAGAGGAGTATTAATGAAGAGAGCAGGAGCACTGGAAAGGTCATCTTGGTGGACATGGAAACCATCAAGGATTGTAAAAGAAATAATGTCAAAGAGAGGACAGGAAGAAACAGATGCTTAAAAAAAAAAAAAAAAAAAGAACACTGTCTTGTGTTCCCGGTTTTACAAGTTTAGCTGCTTATGTGAAGTGGTACTTGGTTTACGACATGAGAGACCTTTTACATTTAAATGTATTTGAATTTCGCCAGCATCAATCCAGATCTTTATCCCTGGGTACATGGTGGGCACTCAGTAAATATTAGCTGATCGATTCATTGTGATTTGGCAGAATAGGAAAAACAGTTGGCAGAAACAGTTCTAGGTATAGTGAACACAGAACATGGCCAACGCCCAGGGCTTGCTCCGGAGGGGCTCAATGTGCAGGTCAGACTCTGTGGATAAGGCTGCCCCCCAGGACTCCTCAAGCTCCCCTGGAGTTCAGGCTAAGAGTAATGCAACCAGGAGGGCACCAGGGATGTCCTGGATTTTCCAGCCCAGCCTGTCCGCAGATGGTTCTCCTAAAGCATCTCTGAGCTCACACAAACGATGGGCCCTTTTAGGGAGTTCTGGAGGGGGCAGCTGTCTTGTTTCCCAAACCCTGGTCAGGGAATAGCAAGCAGAAGCTAAGGTGGTTGCTCTCCTTCCCCTGTCTTCAGAATCAGGAGGCTGAGCCTGTTCCCATTCACATCCCTTGTTCTTTAGACCAGAGCGTTGAAGCCAGCAATAACCTCCTAGTGACCACACAGATATTTTTCTTTTCTTTTCTTTTCTTTTTTTTTTTTTTTTTTTTTTTTTTTTTTTTTTTTTTTTTTTT